AAACAAATATGAATGAAAGAAAATTATTTATTGAAAGATAAGGACTGACCAGGGCTGTTGGCTTATGTCTGCAATCCCAGCACTTTGGGAGGCTGCAGTGGGAGGACTGCTTGCACCCAGGAGTTTGAGGCTACAGTGAACTATGATCACTCCACTGCAGTCCAGCTGGGGCAACAGAGGGAAGCTCTGTCTCAAACAAATTAAAAAAAAAAAAAAGATAAATACTGACAGTAATACTAACAACTCAACAAAAAGCACGTATGATAAGGATGGTCTCAGACAAAATATGATTCAAGGCAACAACCATTTTGACGAACCAAGGAAAGTATATCAGGCAAGGTGACAGGTGGAACATTCAAGTGGTCAATTGAAGAACACTGAATGTTAATGCATGAACTATTTTCAGAGGCCTGGAGAAAGGTAAGGAAAGCAAGAAGGAATGTCAAAGTCTTTGCGGACAATTGGGAGTCACGAACATTCTGGGCTGAACAGCAGCGAAGGCACAATGCCATCAGCACCCAGAGGCAGCTGGGAATCTCAGAGAGAAGTGACCGCTGCTGGTCATCTGGGACAATCGGTTGTGTTGTATATATTTTACAGTGTCTACTTTGGGGCTTCTTGTAACCTTCTGGATAAGCAAATGGATTTTCTGGGTCCCACTCATTGCATTAATGTGGGTCTCCCAAGGTGGTATGAGGATGAAATAAGCAAATGCGTGAGAGGTGCTCAGAACAGAGCCTAGCACAGAGAAAGTTTCCCTTAAACGTTAGGGGATGGGGGTACTGGGAGCTGCACACTCGAATGACCACACTCGAAGTAGCATGCACATTCAGAAGGTTTGACTTCTCTTCCTGTGGGATGGCCCAATTGCTTAAACTCCAGACTCAGTAAACGCAGGATCTGCCCCAGCTGAGCACACCACTGCTTCTGACGAAAATTGCAACGGCTGGCGGAGCTTACTTGCCCGGAAGGAAGCTGCTCTTGCCCCACCCACAAGGCCCTGGAAGGAGGAAGGCGTAGCCGATCTGCTGTCGGGCCCTACGTCCCCCAAACGTCCTCTCTGCTCCAGCCTCACTGGCCTCCCCTCTGGCCCTGTGGGCCTCCCGTCCCCTCTCCCGTCAGCTCCACTCCCCTGGCACGGCTGGGGCCCACCCAGTGTGGAGGCTCCACTGAAAGCTACTGCCTCCAGGCCTCCCACCCCAGGCCATCAGACCCTGGTAACACCTCTGCGCTCTTGGCGTAGCGCTCAACCTTCATTTCTGGGATAATCAGCTGACCCAATCAACCCCGCTGGCGTCCACACCTTGGAGACTGAGTCCTGAGACCTCTGCTGACCACCGCCTGGAGCCCAGGCCCCGCTCCACGGCTGCGCGCTTTCGGATAAAAGCCTGGGACGGCGCTCCAGTGGTCTCCTGCCGCCACCTGCGCCGGGGATGGCAACGCCTAGGGAGCCCCAGGACCTCTTCCGAGAGCTTTTCAACTCTGTTGACAAACCTCGACCACTCCAGGGACTTCGCTGGAAAGAAACGTTCTAGGAAGACCAAGTGGGTAAGTCACAAGAAAGAACAAAGTTACCCTGGTGGAATGGCCGAGGGGGCTGGAGGCGTGGTGTGGAGGCCAGGGCCTGAGGAGGCGAGGGCGTGAGGACCTTCCCTGACACTATCCTCTCCGCCCTCTCTCACCTGGCTCCGGGCATCTCCCCTCTCCTCCTTCCCGCCCCTTCCCTGCTTCTCTCGCAGTACAGTAGACCTGGAAGTTTCTGCCTCGCACCCACCTTATGAGACAGCTCTCGCCAACCTGTTCCCCTCAGCCTCAGGCCCAGCCCCTCCTGCCTGCCCCCTCGCAGAATCATCCCTCCACTGTCTGCAGCTGCGAGGTGTGGGTAGAGGCCCAGATTAATGTGGTATCTGTTCTGCCCTGGGGACCCGTGTCCTGAGCTTTTTCTCCCAGGCCCGCCCTAGGGGACCCAGATGAAGTCAGTCTGGCTCCTTCGGACAAGGAAATCGGGTTTTGCATTTTGATAGCTGTTGCCGACTTGAACCCCCAAAGAGTAAACAACAAAACTAGCATGTTTTTCTCCATATCCTTTGAAAAGCCAGTATAGGGCTTTATTCTCTAGCAAATTAACTGTAAAAATCAAAGTTCTGTTTTTGTAATTTGGTTTTTTAAAACATGGTCAAGTGTAACCTTTTTGCATGATTTTGCGTAGCGGATTCTGTGGCTTGCTTGTGGTTGCCCTGGGGCACGATTGTTGATGAGTACCTGCCGTGGACTAGCAAGTGCTGTCTGTATCTGACATATGATTAGCTCTGGTCTGCCACATGTTGGAGACAGCCCCCGCTATTTTATGGTTTGTCTTTTGATTTTGAACGTGGTAATTTCGTGGACTTTTTTTTTTTTGTTTAACCAGACGTTCAATTTTAAAATCGCCAGTTTTATCTGCCTATATTTTCTTGTCTTAGTCTCATGCCCAAAAGGCCTTTTTCATCATATTACTTAAGTGTCTGAGAAACTGACTAGGCATTTGTACATGTTAACTCTTGCAGGGGTGGCCAATCTTTTGGCTTCCACAGGACATATTAGAAGAAGAAGAATTGTCTTGGGCCACACATAAAATACACTGACACTAAAGATAGCTGATGAACTTAAAATCACGAAAATATTATTTTAAAAAATCCCATAATGTTTTAAGAAAGTACGCGTTTGTGTTGGGTCACATTCGAAGCCATCCTGGGCCGCAGGTTGGACAAGCTTGCTCTAGAGGATGTTCTGAAATTGCAAGAGTATGCGTATCACAGGCCAGAAGTACATACAATGTGGTGTGCTTTCCTGGAACTGAACTTGTTTTCCATCTAGAGCCCACCTTTGGGCAGTTGGGGAAGAGGGATTTCCTCTTCAGATGGGTACCCTTGGGCACTTGAGACTTTCTCAGTGCATTCCGGTTTCCTCCTGCCCGCTTTTCCAGGAGTTGCTCCTGCAGTCTAGGGCCAGGGTGTCTTTGCCTCAAATTTCTGAGTGAGCAATGGTCAGTGGTCCACATCTATCCTGCCGGCATCTCAGTGGGGCCTCCTCCCATTGGTCCTCAGCTTCTGTCCCTGCAAGCATCTATGAAACACTAAGCTCCTTTCTTGTCACTGGCTGTCATTGTGTGTCCTTCAGCTCCCTCAAGAGGACCCTCCCTGGGGCTACTGGCTTCTCCTCCACCCCAGGTCCCCTGCCCGTTCGGGAGGAAATGAATGCTGCTTCAGCCACACAGGCCCTCTGCCCTGATCCTGCCTAAACTTCCATTTCAGAGCATCAGGCCACACCCAAGCACCTCTCATGGTCCAGGACCCCAACCAGAATAAAGAGCGCTGGTGCTCTCTTCCCTTAAACCTGTCCACCGGCCCGTGTGGCAGAGAGGAGGGGGAGCATCACTGTCAGATCTCCAGTTTCCCTGTGACTGCATTCTGCCTGGGTAGAGGAGAGGAGATACACCAGACCCACTCCACTCACACAGACGTAACTATCGGAGAGCGGTTCTTCAGCACACCCCAGTTGCTCAAGCCAGAAACTTGAGCGTCTGCCTGGTACCGTCCTCTCCTCCTCCCTACATCCATTTTTCTTCCTTTCCCGAGCCGGGTTTCTTCGATCTCTGGTCCACCCTCTGATCTAGAGAGGCTCCTGAAACACGAAGCTGGTAGAGCAGCTTCTCAAAGGTTCCCTGCCATGCTTGCCCTGAGGGTCCTGGCAGGTGCTCTGGGGCACCTTCATGATCTGACTGGTGTCCCTGCCCCCAGGAAGTCCCTCCCTGCCCTCACTTGTACGCTGAAAGGTTTCCCAGTGTCCTCATCTGCTCAGCTTCTGACTCCAATGGGCAGCCTCCCTCTAGGCTCTGCCAAAAGGACTCTGGAGACACCTGGCTGGTTCCTTTCTCATACAAGTTCCCGTTGTTCACCTGACTGGAGGTTGTGGGCGTTGACAGTCAGCTGTGCCTCAGTCTCCTCCATTCCATGCTGCTCCTGACCCCAGCCCTCAGGACCCCGGGGGCCCTGACTGCACCAGCCTCTGCTCCTTGATGCTGGGGCTGGGTGTGTCCTCTCCTGGCCGTGGGACCCCTCCACCATCTATGCCACATCCTTGTCACCTATGTCACCTAAGGCAGTCAAAGCATGTACTGAGCACCAGTTCTTATTTCAGAAACAGCCTCACATTTCAAGGCGATTCCTCTGGAGACCTTCCTTTTGGGGAAAAACACCTAATGCTACCTGGTGTGCCCTCTCCTTGATGCTGGGTCCTTGAACATTTCTTCGATTCCTTTCTATCATGTCCTCACTGTGTCAGGTGTGGGTGCTGAATACACCATTCAGAACATTCCAGAACACTGAAAACTGGCAGTCAGGCCTTGTGTTCAGACACTGCATCCTTTGAAGGAAATGTTTTGGGAGGTCTTACTTTGTGGGGTGAACATCTGTCAGGGATGAAATGCTCCAGGCCGACCTCTCTCTGCCCCTTCAGCAGCCCCTGCGCTGGGGTGACCCGCTGTGGATTTCTGGCTTTGCTGTTCCTTCATCAGCCAGTTTGGGGGCTTTGCTGAATCTTAACTCTCCCTCCAGCAGATCTCCGACAGGGTTGGCCATCCGTACTCTCCAGTCTTTGGTGTCTGACTTGCATAGAGGGAAGCATGAGGAACTGAACTCAGAACTTGTTTTGATGTCCCTAGAAAATGCCCCACAAGGCTGCTGTGCACCCCTCTCACTGCAAGGCCACTCATTCCTACCCAGGATGCCCTGCTCCTCATCCTCCCTCCAGGATGCCTTGACCTTTGCTCTTCTATTACCTCACCCCTAGTTGTTCCCCTCTTCCCAGCCCTCCTGAGTGACCTGGTCTCCCTACCCTCTGACTGGCTATCTGCCCACCCCACAGATACTAGGAGTCCCCTGAGGTGCGTGGGGCCTCAGCTTGCAGAGGAGCACGCTTGCCAGACGCTTCGGAGCTTTGAAGGGCACAGGCTATCTAAGATGAGCACAGGTCCATCAGAGAAACAAGCAGAGCAGAAGGTTTGCCGTGCCTTCCAGGCTTCCGAGGAAACCCACGGGACTCTGGCAGCCATGGCCCCCTGGGTAGCTGTGGGCTCTGCCTATGGCTCCTGCACCTGCCTGGGAGCCCAGCCTGTAACTGACCCGGCCCTCGGCCTGTCATAGGGACTTCCTCTGTCGTCTACTCCTGGATGGGATGTTTTCCACAAGCTTACCCAACCTTCTGGACTTGCCCGTGGGTGCTGTATAGTGGGTATCTCTGGATGGGGTATCCCCCTCCATCTGCCCTGTTGCCTTCAGTGTGGCCATATTGGAGGGGCACCTCCAGCGTTGACTCCCTCATGAGAAGTCTGTACCTGGATGCCTTGGCCCCCAACCTATTTCCTGTCCCCCTGGGATTCCCACCCAGCTACTCCTTGGCCTCTCCCACTCTGGGTGGGGCCATCTCTAGCCACTGTCCCCAGGTGGGATGCCAGACTCCAGCCAGCTCAGCCCCCATGGCTGTAGTTGGGGAGCTATCCAGAGGAGCTCCCTACTTGAAGAGATGCCAAGCCCCTCCCTAAGAATGGGCCTCCGGGTTCAGTATTTGGGCACCTTTGCCCCACTGCAGCTCAGAGCTCCGCCCTCTGCCCCCTTCCCCCATTGAAGATTGTCAGTCAGACCCCGGCTGCCCCAGCTCCTCCTCCCCCTGGTCACCCTGCAGGGCCCGCCGCCGCCTCTTTGAGTGCTGATCAGCCCTCCAGACCCACCTAACAATCAGAGACAAGTCTGGTGTGGACTTTTAGTTTTTGGAAGAGTTTCAGAAGGGAGTTGTTTGCTGTTCTTCAGTACAGAGCACACCTCCTGGACTCATGCAAGGCCTCTCTGTTTGGTATTTCTCTTCACTTTCTTGTTTTTCTGTTTTCCCTTCAACCCTGATACTGGCACCTTTTCTCCTCCCCAGACTGTCCTGGGCCAGCCCTCTCGTAGATTTGCTGTAAGTCCTCAAACATGCATGCATGTAACCTTGTAAAATGAGCATATTTAAGCTCAACCCACTGTGCAGAGGTGCTCAGTTAGAATAAGCCTCCAGGTTCAGTATTTGGGTACCAGTGCCACCCTCCAGCCCAGGACTCTCTCTGGCCCCTCCTCAGCAAAGACCCTCAGCAGGACCCCCACATCCCTGGCCACACTGCAGGGCCTGCCACTGTCTCTTCCAGCATTGGTCTGTCCTCCAGGGAACCACATACTTGGGCACTTTAGAACCCATGGAATCCATTGAGCACTTGCTGTAGGCTCTGCCTAGAGGCTTTCAAAACCTGTGTTTGTTCCAGTATACACAGAGTAGGAAATGCTGACTTGTTCAGAGTGCTGGTGCCCTTGGGTCCTTGTGGGTGTGCTCTTTTTACTCCTCACGCCTTCAGCACCCTCTGGGGTAATGCACACACCAATAAGATGTACAGTATATGCTTTTAAAATTTTTAAATAAATGAGACTGTGCTATAAATCGTTTTCAATTTTTCATTCATTAGTTTAAGACCTAGCCGTATCTGCATGTATGTGTAGTGTATTTGGAGTTTGTTTTCAAATTTATTAGCATGTTTTTCATGCTGTTATTTCTTACTATTGTTATGGGCTGTATTCCATTTTTCTTTATAATTTTATTGTGTTTGAGGTTTACGACGTGATGTTATGGTTACCATAGTGAAGCAGACTAACATCTGCCATCTCACAGTTACATTTTTTGGTGACAACAGGAGCTAAAATACACTTTTGACAAAAACCCCTAGTACAATGCCATTTCATTAACTTTATTCCTCATGCTGTACATTAGAGCTGTAGGCTTGCTCAGCCTACCTATACTTGGTATCCTTTGACTTACATATCCCAGTTCCCCCACTCCCAGCCCGTGGGAACCACTGCTCCATTCTCTATCTCTGTATTTTAGCTCTTTGTTCTCTTTTAATATTCCACATATAAGGGAAACTGTGCAATTTTTTTTTCTGTGTCTGACTTATTTCAGCATGCCCCGTGCATGTTATGGCAAATGGCACAATCTCCTTTTTAAAGGCTAAATAATATTCTATATCCATTATATATATGGCTATAATCGTATTTATCCATTCATCCATTGATAGGCATTTGGGTTGTTTCCATATCTTGGCTATTGTAAATAATTCTGCAGTGAATATGAGAGTACAGGTATCTTTATGAGGCGGTGATTTCATCTTTTTTGGGTACATTTCCAGAAGTAGCATTGCTGGATCATGTAGTACTATTTTTATTCAGGGACTTCTGTATTGTTTTCTATAATGGCTGTACTCCTTTTCTTTTCAAACAGTGTATTTATTAAACTTTTCCCATGGATTTTTCTGTTTTATTAGTATCTATTTTTGACTCACTGATTCTGTGCCTTGAAGTATCTTCTTCTTATTGTGAGCTTATTATTTCTTTTGTAACTTCTTAAAGTTGATGACAGCCAGTTCATTTTTAGGCCTGATTCTTTTACAAATTTTTTTTTAATTTTAACCAATTTATAAGGGCATAAATTCTTGAATTAAGCATGAATCTTAGAAGAAATTTCCATTCATGATACAGTTGTAGAGTGGAAATGTAAAATGAGATATTGAAGTCATGTTTTCTAATAATGAACCTCATTGAGGTTTAAGAGAGTGAAATAATAGCCTTTGGATTAATGCTTTTTTTTATTGCATTTTAGGTTTTGGGGTACATGTGAAGAACATGCAAGATTGCTGCATTGGTACACACATGGCAGTGTGGTTTGCTGCCTTCTGTCCCCTCACCTGTATCTGTCATTTCTCCCCATGCTATCTCTTCCCACCTCCCCACCCCCTCATCCCTCCCCCATTTCCCCCCAACGGACCCCAGTGTGTAGTGCTCCCCTCCCTGTGTCCATGTGTTCTCATTGTTTAACACCCGCCTATGAGTGAGAATATGCAGTGTTTGATTTTCTGCTCTTGTGTCAGTTTGCTGAGAATGATGGTTTCCAGGTTAATCCATGTCCCTACAAAGGACGTGAACTCATCGTTTTTGATGGCTGCGTAATATTCCATGGTGTATATGTACCACATTTTCCCTATCCAGTCTATCATCGTTGGGCATTTGAGTTGGTTCCAGGTCTTTGCTATTGTAATCAGTGCTGCAGTGAACATTCGTGAGCACGTGTCCTTATAGTAGAATGATTTATAATCCTTTGGATATATACCCAGTAATGGGATTGCTGAGTCAAATGGGATTTCTATTTTTAGGTCATTGAGGAATCGCCACACTGTCTTCCACAATGGTTGAATTAATTTACACTCCCACCAATGGTGTAAAAGTGTTCCTATTTCTCCACATCCTCTCCAGCATGTTGTTTCCAGATTTTTTAATGATCGCCATTCTAACTGGTGTGAGATGGTATCTCAATATGGTTTTGATTTGCATTTCTCTAATGACCAGTGATGATGAGCATTTTTTCATATGTTTGTTGGCCTCCTGTATGTCTTCTTTTGTAAAGTATCTGTTCATATCCTTTGCCATTTTTGAATGGGCTTGTTTGTTTTTTTCTTGTAGATCTGTTTTAGTTCTTTGTAAATTCTGGATATCAGCCCCTTGTCAGATGGGTAGACTGCAAAAATTTTTTCCCATTCTGTTGGTTGCTGATTTACTCTACTGACTGTTTCTTTTGCCGTGCAGAAGCTGTGGAGTTTGATTAGGTCCCACTTGTCTATTTTGGCTTTTGTTGCCATTGCTTTTGGCGTTTTGGTCATGAAGTCCTTGCCTATGCCTATGTCCTGAATGGTTTTGCCTAGATTTTCTTCTAAGGTTTTTATGGTGTTAGGTCTGATGTTTAAGTCTTTAATCCATCTGGAGTTAATTTTGGTGTAAGGTGTCAGGAAGGGGTCCTGTTTCTGCTTTCTGCACATGGCTAGCCAGTTAAAATTCCCTCTAAATATACCACTCTAAAATATACCCTGTAGTTATGTGATATTCTTACTTGTGTATCTTTTTAAACAATCACCGTTAAGGAAAATCAAGTAAATTTTATTAAAGGCTGACAAACCAAAATTGTTTGTAGTTTAAAATGCTTCATATAGAATTTATATAATAGTCCAGTTACTATTCTAGTTATTGCTGTTATAATGGACTAATGAGAATTAATGTTTATGTATTGATAGAGAATTAGTATGGAAGTTATGCACTTATAATATTAATATACCAATAATATGTGCACTACCCAAAAAACTATAGCTTCATCCAGAAGCACTTTGAGCAAAACTTGAATCTGTTGATGGCAATGCTTGTATATCTATTGCAGATCTTATGCTGATGGTGATAGAGAAATCATCAAAAATACATTGTGAAGGGAGTAGAAAGATTGCCAGGTTTCTTGGTATACTTTTGGAATTTGAAATAATTCATCTGTTCGAAGGTTGAATTAAGCTTAAATCCACTGCTGTCTCTGGGACATGACAGCCTAGGGAAACCTAGGAAAACCCGCCTGAGATAAGACATCTGTGTAAGTTGCTGGAGGGTGTGCAGAGGGGCAGGGCTGCAGGTTTCTGAGACCCTCAGCTGGGAAGGAGAGAGGGAGCTCTTCAGACTAGCACCAGGGAATTGATTTCTCCGTCCAGCCTGGAGCTCACCCCTTCAGCTCTCTGTAGTTTTCTCCTAGGCTGTGTGTTTTGAATGATGCCTTCTATAGAGTGGTGGTTTCTCAAGATGGTTCTGTTTCTGCAAGTGCCTTTTACACAGCCTGAGGTTTTCTTATGAACTTCATGTTCTTAGGTGGGGGCAGCAAAGCTTGTGCCAGATGCTTTTCTCTTTTTACACTGATTGCAAAGGACGCAGCAAATGTAGGAGACTGTCAATGACAGGTGCACACACGGCTGGCCCCCCAGGGGCTGTGAAGGATGGGGGCAGCCCGGGTTGCTGGGCTGCTTGACCACTGCTTCCAACAGTGTCCCAAAAACACTTGGGTGGCCGCTTGTTGCTGCTAATGTCTACCACAGGCTGAGCTCCCCCACACCCAACAAGGAACAGAGAGCCCCCAAAGCCACCTACTAACTGGGGCAGAGCCTGCGAGAGCTGCTTGCAGGGAGCTGGGAGGATGTGTGGGGCTGCTCCCTCTTGTAATCTGTTTTTACATTTTCTTCTTGGCTTTCCTGAAGTATACAGCAGTCCCCCCTTATCCTCAGTTCTGCTTTCTGAAGTCACAGTTACCCACAGTCAACTTTGTTCTGAAAATATTAACTAGAACCCCCCAAAATAAGCAATTTCTAAGTCTTAAAGGGGGCATCATTCTGAGTAGTGTGATCAGATCTCTGTCCTGCCCTGGGAATGGAGCCTGCCTTGTCCAGAGTTCCATGCTGGCTTCAAGTTCCACACTGTCTTCATCACCTGCCTGTTAGTCACTCAGTTCTCTTAGTTATCAGGTCCACCAAGGTGGTAGCTCCCTTTTTGTTCAAAGAACCCTTGTTATACCTAATGACTGCCCCAAGGCGCCAGAGGAGTGCTGCTGGCAATTCACATAGGCCAAAGAGAAGCCATAAAGTGTGTCCTTTAAGTAAAAAGGTGAAAGTTCTTCACTTAATAAGGAAAGAAAAAAAAAATAGTATGCTGAGGTTGCTAAGATCTGCAGTATAATAAGATGCTGAGAGACAGACAGGGAGACCACATTCACATAACTTTATTATACCATATAGTTTTATTATTGATCTTACTGTGCCTAATTTATGAATTAAACTAT